GAAAGAAGCAGGGCGGAGAGTTTTCGGCGAATTTCGGCCTCGGGGGGGGGCCCTCGCCGGTCCTCGGGACCGTCAGATAGCCTGACAAAGGACCCGACCATATGCAGATGCGAGTACCGCATTGTGGGTACCGCTTTTGGTGGAGCTCCCTATGGGGCCACGAAGCGCGTGAGGGGTGTGCCGACATGGGCGCGATGGTGCCATGCGAACCCTCCCACTGGAGCCTTCGGTGGAGCTCCCCATGGGGCCACGAAACGTGCGAGGAGCATGCCGAAATGGGCACGGTGGTGCCATGCGAACGCAGCCACTTGGGCCTTCGGTGGGGCTCCCTATGGGGCCACGAACCGTGTGAGGCGTGTGCCGACATGGGTGCGGTGGTGCCAGGCGAACGCAGCCATTTGGGCCTTCGGTGGAGCTCCCCATGGGGCCACGAGCCGTGTGAGGGATGTGTCGACATGGGTGCGGTGGTGCCACGCGAACGCAGCCACTTGGGCCTCCGGTGGAGCTCCCCATGGGGCCACGAAACGTGTGAGGGTGTGCCGAAATGATTGCGGTGGTGGTGCCATGCAAACGCAGCCACTTGGGCCTTCGGTGGAGCTCCCTATGGGGCCACGAACCGTGTGAGAGGTGTGCCGGAATGGGCATGCGGAGGTCAGAGGCACGCAGTGGGAGGAGGAAGGAGGAAGGAGGAGATGAGACGCGGGGCGCTGTCTCTTCAGAACGAGGCCCAACACAGGATGGTTGGGAAAAACGACTCAAGATGAAAAGCTGGTCCCGGAAAAAGGGTCGAGACTTTCAGGGACCACGTATTGAAAAAAATGATCCTGGCAAAGCAACCTAACAGCGATGTGTATAAGCATATTTGGAAGCATTCCCTTCAAGATTCAGGTGAGAATCCAGTTGTAGAATTCTGATGTTCTCGCAGTCGCAGTCTTATTCGCAATGACAGTCGCAGTGGCAACGGCCTTAGGATCCAATGGAATCCTAAGGATTCCTAGGGATTCCTAAGGCATCCTTAGGCATTCTTAGGAATCCATCGGAATCCTCAGGAAACCTTAGGAATCCTTAGGAATCCTGATTCCTAGGGATTCCTAGGGATTCCTAAGGATTCCTAGGGAATCCTAAGGATTCCTAAGGATTCCTAGGGATTCCTAAGGATTCCTATGGATTCCTGCGGATGTCTTAGTCTGCCTCAGTTTCAGCCTCAGCCTCAGCCTGCCTCGGCTTGCCTCAGCCTCAGCCTCAGCCTGCCTCGGCCTCAGCCTCAGCCTGCCTCAGCATCAGCCTCAGCCTGCCTCAGCCTCGGCCTGCCTCAGCCTCAGCCTCAGCCTGCCTCAGCCTCAGCCTCGGCCTCAGCCTCAGCCTGCCTCGGCTTGCCTCAGCCTCAGCCTCAGCCTGCCTCGGCCTCAGCCTGCCTCGGCCTCAGCCTGCCTCAGCCTCCCCTCCTTCCCCCCCCTTCCCCCCCCCCATTCAGCCTCACCTTGTCTCAGCTTCGGCCTGCCTCGGCCTCATCCTCAGCCTCAGCCTCAGTCTCAGCCTCAGCCTGTCTCGGCCTGAGCCTGCCTCGGCCTCAGCCTCAGCCTGCCTCAGCCTCAGCCTGCCTCAGCCTCAGCCTCAGCCTGCCTCAGCCTCAGCCTGCCTCAGCCTCAGCCTCAGCCTCAGCCTCAGCCTGCCTCAGCCTCAGCCTCAGCCTGCCTCAGCCTCAGCCTGCTCAGCCTCAGCCTCAGCCTGCCTCAGCCTCAGCCTCAGCCTCAGCCTCAGCCTCAGCCTCAGCCCTCAGCCTCAGCCTCAGCCTCAGCCTCGGCCTCAGCCTCAGCCTGCCTCAGCCTCAGCCCTCAGCCTCAGCCTCAGCCTGCCTCCTCAGCCTCAGCCTCAGCCTCAGCCTGCCTCAGCCTCAGCCTCAGCCTCAGCCTCAGCCTCAGCAGCCTCAGCCTCAGCCTCAGCCTGCCTCAGCCTCAGCCTCAGCCTCAGCCTCAGCCTCAGCCTGCCTCAGCCTCAGCCTCAGCCTGCCTCGGCCTCAGCCTGCGTCAGCCTCAGCCTCAGCCTGCCTCAGCCTCAGCCTGCCTCAGCCTCAGCCTCAGCCTGCCTCGGCGTGCCTCAGCCTCAGCCTCAGCCTGCCTCGGCCTCAGCCTGCCTCGGCCTCAGCCTGCCTCAGCTCGGGTATTCAAAATATGGCACAGGACTGGTGTTCTGGGAACACGAAAATCACGAAGTGGCCCACAGCTGGCTCCGGGCAATCAAAATATGGTACAGGAATGGTGTTCTGGGAGCACGAAGATCACGAAGTGGCCTACAGTTGGATCCGGGCATTCAAAATGTGGCCTGGGAATGGTGTTCTGGGACACGAACTGGCCTACAGTTGGCTCCGGGCATTCAAAATATGGTACAGGAATGGTGTTCTGGGAGCACGAAGATCACGAAGTGGCCTACAGTTGGCCCCGGGCATTCAAAATGTGGCCTGGGAATGGTGTTCTGGGAACACGAAGAGTAGGAATCCATAGGAAACTATAGGAATCTGTAGGAGTCCTGGGGAGTCCCCGGATTCCCCCGGATTCTCCCGGCACCCGCCCAGACCCCCCTGGGGAGTCAAGATGCTTTCTTTTGACCCCACAAGAGACCTATCAGTCTTCGCTGTTAGGTAACAAGACGTCGCATGTCTGGGTCAGCGAGGACCATCGTGGAGCATCCTGGAACATCCAGCAAAACAACCACGCACACAGCCGAAGGATGCACGGGGAATGGACGTCCGAGCGACGGCAAGTGGAGCCCCCGGCCCAGCCCTCGAGCTCCGGGGGCGCAGGGATGAACAGATGGACGGGGGGCCTGGAGGAGAGGCTCCGAGAGGTCGTTCGCCATTCGCCGTGTTCGGGCTCACGGGGCGCCTCCTGGGCCCCAGGGTCCAGAACCCGTTCCCTCGAGGACAGGTTTCCCTCGTGCCCACTTGTCCCCATGATTGCCCCTTCCCCGCCCTCCCCTCCTCACCCTCCCCTCCGCCGGAGCAGCGCGCGCCCGCGGCGCAGTGGTGCCATTCGGCAGGGCAGAGATCGGAGGAGCAAGCTGGGAGCTGTCGGCTGTGGCGCAAGCGGTTGCAGTCGGTCGGTTCGCTTCGGTCGAATGTTGCGCTGTTGCGTCACTCTCGGCCGCTTTCGGCCTGATGGGTTCGGTCAGTTTCGGTCGGTTTCGGCTTGGCTGTGGTTTTGTCAAGTTTTCGGATCTGCCGTCACCGTGGACGTCAATGCGGAGGTGGAGGAAAAGGGTGGAAGGAAAACCAGGGATGCAGAGAGGGGAGAAAGGCAAGCTAATTAGGTGCGCTCGCGCCATATCCGACATCCGATCCCTCCCTCCCAGCCCATCCAATTGCGCTGATTTGTCTCTATGTTTCCACGCGCCTCACAGCCGACATGGAATCCCACCAGAAAGACCCCATCGTGTTATTCGCAATCGGAAAATAGAATCGGCGTACATACGAGGAGCAGGTGAGTGCTGAGCAGGATGATGAGCAGGAGGACAAGGAAAACAATGATGAAGAAGGAGGACGAGGACGAACACCAGCAATCCAGAAAAAGTGGCTCGCGCTGGGGCGAGAGCGCCATTCTGAACGACGGGAGCAAGGCGCCGATCCGAAAATTACGCTCATGTTGCCGAGGGAGCACCTGTCTGAAACACCGACAACAATCGGCGGTTAGCAAAAACGTATTAACAAAAGCAGATGTTGAAAGTCAGCACGCGAAGAGGGCCGGACAACTTCTGGATAGACTCAGGGGAGAGCAAAGTAGTGTCCACAATGTGCATGTGTAAACCATCAAAGGTTTCCCATGACCGCAAGGCCTGAGCAGCCGTGATTCTGCATGTGCCCAGCTATGGAGGAGGTTGCCAACTGCTTGAAGCCGTGCACAAATCGATTGGCACTGCCCCTGCTACCCAGTGGCACAGTTCACGCCGGCGGCACATCACCGGCCGCTCCCTGGGAGTTTGACGCAGCGTCTCGGGAGCCTCTTGGAGGCAGTTTTGAAGCCTCTTCGGTTCCTCTTGGGGGCCGTTAGGGGGCCTCTTGGGGCTTCTTTGGGGCCTCTTTTGGGCTTGTTGGGGGCTTCTTGGGGCCCATCTCTTTGGAGCCTGCTGGCGGGGTCGGAGGTTTCTTTGTGGCGGTAAGCTCGCAGTGACCTTTCGATTTCTGCCTCTTGGGGCTCTCTTGCAGCACTCTTGGGCCGTATTGGGCTTCTATTGGGTCGTCTTGGAGTGCCCGTGGGCTGTATTTGGGCTCTCTGCGGGGCTTTGGGGGCCCTCTTGGGGTGACCGCGGGGGCCTCTAGGGCCGTCGTGGACGCTCTGAGGGCCACGAGTCTGATATGCTACAGTTGCACATTTCCTCAAGGGAACGGGACGCTTTGTGCTTGTTGGTGCTCTCTTTGTAGGGCTCTTGACGCCCTCTGGGTCTATTGGGAGTCTCCTGGGGGCCTCTTGGGGGGGTTCCTGGGAGCTCCTGGGGGCCTCTTGGGGCTCTTGGCGGTCCTTGGAGCGGAAGGCTCGAGCTTTCCTTTCGTGGCCCCCCTTCGGGCCCCCTCTTGGGCTCTTCTTGGGGCCCTCTTGGGCCGTCTTGGGCGCCTCTCGGGCCGTCTTGGGGCTCTTTCGGGCTGTCTTGGGGCCCTCTTGGAGGCTTCTTGGGCTGTCTTGGAGGCCTCTTGGGCCGTCTTGGAGCGTCGGAAAGCCTACAAAGTGTAGTTTTGAAAAATGCACGTTTTAAGAAGGGAATTGGGCAATCTTTGCGTCTGGGGACCTTCTTGGGGCGCATCTTGGAGGCGTTGGGGCATCGCAGGGGCGTCTGGGGACGTCTGGAGGCCATCTAGAGCGGCTGAGAATGATCTGGAGCCGTCTGGATACTCTCCAGGGCCGTCGTGGGGCTCTCTTGGGCCGTCTTGGGGCGTTCGCGGGTCGCTCCCGGGCGTTTGCAGGGTCGTCTTGGGGTTCTTAAGTCGTTCGACTTGGGGGGGACTGTAAGGG